GCTCCTATCATGCAGCACGGTGTGCTGTAGTAGTTTTGTTAAGTTCAGTGCTTGCTATGTCTTTCAGTTACAGTAAAATAAATCAAAACAAACAAAGATAAAAAATGTGTTTTTTTCATTACTGCGTTAAATGCTAATTATTTTCTTATTTCTATGGTCTGTCAAATGTTATAAAGGTGCAGGTTATTCGATATTTGCGGCATATAGGGCTAATTAAATTAGCCTACAAGCTTAAATTACTGCGATATATACACATAGCTTACTCGGTAATACTCTTAACAGGTTAAACGCGAGCCCACAGGTGGGTCTACCCTATCAGTACACAGTAGCATCATCATATAGGGGTGGGTTGGTGTATTTGCACCAACACAGTCGTATGCTATCAGCTTAACGGAATAGCTAGCAGACGCCATCAATGAAGAGCCCACCGGTGTCAAAAAACGTTGAGCTCGTGCGTCTATTAATGAACGTCCAGGTGTATGAAAGCTAAGAGACCGAGGCTCGTTTCCATATGGACACCGGGAAACATCTATAAAACCGGTCCGTGTCTGCAGCTGTTTACGGTCTCTCCCCCTCACTTACCTCGCTGACTAGCCCCTGCCAGTCACTCTCACTCCTCTTGGAAGACTGCATTATTCGTAATATTTTGCAAAAATGTCACGACACACCAGCCCCCCTCTCCTCATCGGTTTGTTTATCCTGCAACGTCACTTTCTTAGCCTCCGTTGTTAAGTTACGCAGAAAGAGAAAAGAGGGAAAACGACTTCCGGTATGTCTGTGAAAATAATATTATATTTGAAGAATTTCAGTTTTAAACAATTATATACATTGAAATTTTTAAATATTTTATATGTACGATTCGATTTATATATGAAGATTTTGCAGATAAGTACTGAGGCACCGGTGAAGCTTACAATAACAAAACGGAAATGGTTTCCTTCAGAATAAAAGCAGAAAGTCTGCCACTAAAAATGTTCGTTTTAGCACTTTTGGAGAAAAATTAACAAAACAATTAACTAATACAAATTATATTGGTAAAATGCACTATTTACTTTATATCTATAGACCTTTGTGCAGTTTGTAAACATTGATGACCAAGGCAGTATAAGGGTTTATAGTGGTTATTTCCAGGGGAGGACACGTAATGTGTATAATTTGTAAGAAATTGAGCGTTATAGAAACCATTTTCAGAAGCTGTTGCTAATCCAAGTATCCTAGGCAGTTTATATAGTAAATTTGATACAGATTGATTAAGGTGCTTGTCCCCCCAACCAACTTCATACTGATCAGATACCCCTTGCGAACACCAGATTTCAACTCTCATGCTATCTTATCAAGGCAGGAGCTTGTTGAGAGGCAATTTGTTATGGAAATCTTGTTGTGAACCCTGAAGCCAGGCGTTTTCACTATAAAAGGTAGAGGATATACCCATCCATCCATCCATCCATCCAGTGGCGTGTCTAGAAAATATTTGTTGGGGGGACCAGGTAGGGGCACAGATTTGGAGAGGGGTGGCAGATGTAATTGGCAGATAATGTTAAAAAAAAAAATCTACCAACCGTTAACCATAATTCAATAACCCTATAAACCTAATAACCGAATGCGCTTTTAACTCTTATTAGAATGGGATTTTAACCACTACAGTGCAAAGTTTTTAGATACTGCATTGATAAAGTACAAGAGATACAATCAGTGCTTTTCAAACAAAAACGCATTAGTGTGGACGTAGCCTAAGGGCCTGTTGGCTGAAAACCTGTGCCAGAATTCTGACAGACAGGCCAATTATTTTAGAGCACACTGATGCAGTGTGCTGCAGTCTGTTCCTGTTCTGAAGGCTGAGGGAGTGGAACCAGCAGGTAATAGAGAAGGTCATAGAGAAGGTCATGATGCTTTTCAGGAAGGCAAAGTAAAAAGTCATCATGATGGGTGTGCTGACTCCAAACGAGTTGAGTTTCCTAAGGAGGTATAGCCATTGGTGGCACCTCCTGAGAATCTCCTCTGTGTTGGCAGAGAATTTCAAGAGGTTGTCAAAGATGGTTCCCAGGTATTTGTACTCCTCAACTACCTCCACTGACTTCCCGTGGATGGTGGTGGTGACTGAAGCAGCCAGATCCCTCTGCCTACTGGAGAAGGTCACTACCATCTCTCTCTGTTTGATTCTAATGTAAATTGAATGTATTGGCACATTACAGATTAATATCATATATTATTCAGTTGTACTTAAAACTAGTGACTGCAGGTCATGAACTCATGAAAATATTTTTGAGGTCACGCGAAAGAGTGCTGAGGGTTTATTTTGCCCCTGTACAGCTAGACGTCATTTTAAAGCCAGTCAAGTTACTCACCCCTGGCCTTGAGAAAGAAAGCAGGTACAAGACACTTCACTTTTGGTTTCACTTTTTAGATTTGCCAGCTACTATGTTTTGAATTGAATTCAATTAAATGAAATTCAGCATGTACAGTAGGCCGAAGCCTGATTTTGACTATCCGGACTGACTGAAAGAGCAGATCTTTCCATTTAAAAAAACAAAAACAATTATTTAGCAAGTAAACAGTAAATTTGCAGTTTTTTACAATAATAAAATGAGATAAAATCTTTAATAAAACATACAAGCTCTAATAAATCTGGTAAATTTGAAATGAAATTCACTTTAATTCAAAATACATGTACAAAAAAGTTGCCAAAGTAGATAATACTAGTATACAGTTGACATTTTACATATAACTTTTCAAAAATTGAAATGTTTTTTTTTTCCAAACAACAAAACTACGCATAGAAAGTGATATTGTTTTTTTTTCTTTTTTTTCCTAAGCTTCATTTTCATTTTTAAATTGGAAAACAAACAAAAACAAACAAACAAAGCAAAAAAACCAAACAGAAAACTCACAACTATGGGACAGAGCAAGTATCAACAAATACCCACAACATGGCAGGCCGTTGTGACCACAGAAGCACTCCCAGGTGCACACTCTTGTATCTATTCCTTTTTAAGTATAACCTCAGACATCCGAAAACACAAGCATGATAATAATAATAATAATAATAATAATAATAACATAACAACATTGACAATTATAGATTTTTAAAAAAAAAAACAAAAAACAAAGAACTCAAAAAAAAAAAAAAAAAAAAAAAAAAAAAAAAGGTGAGCAAAACAGAAAACACATCATGTGAACCCCTCTCCCCATCCCCCCACCGCTTTACCCCTGTATGGCACGCAACCTCATCACATTCGTGTATCCAGACAGCCCATATTTACACCTATCTATAGAAACTCTCATGCACAGGAATCAACATCCCCCACAATAAAACTGCAGCATTCAGGAAATCAAGTCAGGAGGGTCTAACCGGGGATCAACTCAAGTTGGTTCAAGCTGGTTCACCCGAAAGACAAAACCCCAAAACACAAACTTAACAATGTGGTGTATACTGTACAGTGTAGCAAGGAATGCCCAGACCTCTACATTGGAGAGACCAAACAGCCATTTCACAAGCGCATGGCACAACATAGAAGAGCCACCTCCACAGGAGAAGACTCAGCTGTCCATCTGCATCTAAAGGACAAAGGTCACTCTTTCGAGGATGCAAACGTTCACATTTTGGACAGAGAGGACAGATGGCTTGAAAGAGGAGTGAAAGAAGCCATCTATGTCCACTGTGACCATCTTTGAACAGAGGCGGTGGTTTACGACACCAACTGTCTGCCATCTATAATCCACTAATCTATGATCCCCCCCCGAAAAAAGGGAGATTAGCTTGGGTAAAAGACTGAAAGTTGAGGCACACAGCAATGTGCTGTCGGTAAAGTTTCTGGGCTGCCTTTCCTCATATCAGCCATCCATCAATATTCTCGCCATTTAAAGCAAGGCATTATCAGGGACGACAACCTCTAGTCCTTTTACCAAATCTTCTTTTTGCAACATTTACTTCAAGGGTGTCTCTATATTCCAGCCGTGTATCTTGGTAAACTTGTAAACACACCCAAAGAGATCAGGAAATAACTCCAATACATCAATGTGAGGAAATTTCTTGCGCCTGTGAAAAAGGAAAGTTTTATTAATGAGTAGTAAGATTCCAAATTTATCATAGTATCAGAAATATTTCTGATTTGTTCATGTAATTCCAAGGAATTAATATATACCCATACAAAGATGTGTGTTCATTAATTAATCACTTTTAACTTAGTTTAACTTACTTATGCTCATTGAAATTGCGTATAAAGCGCAGTAATCCCAGTGTGGTTTCAGGGTAC